AGAGCCTGACGGCCACCTCGCTGCAGCTTCACAGCTCTGACTCCACGAGTTGCCCTGAAGCTCTTCTCACTTCATCTCTGGGATCGTTCGAATGCTTCGGGGCAAAGAGAAGCAACTCATCGCAGCCTCGACAGTCACACTGTGAACATCAGATACAGTCATTTTTAGGAGATACTGCTGGTCCTAATGGTTCAGTGATTGTTATATGAGAATAAAGTGAATATAGAGGTTTGTAAATTAATTAATTGACACTTTTTTTCCTCATAAAAAATGAACTAAGCTCATTTTACATCCTTCAAATCTTTAGATCTGTTTACAACCTTTTACTGCTCCTTTCACATTTTGTTCTGGTTCAGATTCTTTCAGCTTCCTTGTGCAAATATAAACTTTTTCAGCTATTTTCAGCTGTTTTGTGCTCCTTTCAGCTTCTTTCTGCTAACTACAACATTTATATTCTTCTAATTTCTTAATTTCAGCTTGTTATGCTCCTTTCAGCTTTTCTGCAAGTTTAAGCATTTTCTACTATTTCAGCTACTATTTAGCTGTTTTTATGCTAAATTAAACTTTTTCAGCTAATTCCACATTTTTTGCACTCATTACAACTTTTTTCAGCCTAATTCAGCAAAAATGTGTTCTTTCCACTTCCTTTTTGTAATTTCAGCTTCTTTCTGGGATTTTATTTTTAGCTACGGTACTTTTCAGCTGGTTTTTTTTGTTTTTGTTTTTGTTTTTTGTTGTTGTAGCTAATTTCATCTTTTTATTTCCACTTTTTGAGCTTCTTTCTGCTTCTTTCAGAAAACATGTTCTTTCTGCTTTATTCTGTTAATTTAAGCTTTTTTTTTTTTAGCTAATTTCAGCTATTTTCAGATAAATTCAAGTTTTTCTTGATAATTTCTGCTAGTTTCAGCTTGGTATGCTCCTTTTGTTTTTTGTTTTATTAGTTTCAGCTTTATCTGCTATTTCAGCTACTATTTAGTTGTTTTAATGCAAATTCTATTTTTTACAACTAATTCCAAATTGTTTTAGTTCATTTCAGCTCTATCCACTTGAGCTTCTTTCTGCCTTTTCAAATACTTTTCAGCTGTATTTTTTGTTGCTAATTTCAGCATTTTTAGCTAATTTCCTAATTTTTGTGCTAATTTCTGCTTATTTAAACATAATTCAGCAAATATGTGTTTTTTTTTTTTGCTTTGTTCTGCTAATTTAGGCTTGTTCTTTAATTTCAGCTAATTTTAGCATTTTTTTAAGCTAATTTCAGCCGTTTTTCAGCACGTTATTCTGCAATAAGCATCCACACTGCATTGTGAAAACACAAATGCAATTTCTCTACTTTAACATTTTTTTCCTCTTGGCCTTTGGATTCTCAAGATATTTTTGAAGCATCATTAAAACCAGGAAAAAGCTGTTTTACTAAAAGATTTAAAAGAATTTTACTTCAGTTGATCTGTAAATTACTAAAAATGCTGGATAGGGACTTTTTTCTATACTGTGTCCAAAAAAGAAGCATTTTGTGTTGTCAGCTTCACAGATAAATGGGAAGAGAATTATTCTTCTGAGAACATTTTCAGAGGATCTGTTTCCTCCTCAGCACTTTTTATGTCTCCGCTCTGAATATTGTCTAGAAAAGAGGGACTGTGGGCCTTGTTGCCGGCTGTGTAATGTCAAATCGATGCCTGGTGCGTTTCAGGTTTCACAAATGAAAAATACAAGCAGATTTGATCAATGTACAAGAGGGGTGTATGACTGTAGGCTTGTACTCCTCATGTAATACAAGAGGGATCCATACGGCAGTCAGACATGAATCCATGAATCAAGATGAAAATCAGCTGTTTTTGGCACAGGAGTGGCACGTCTTATTGACGGAGTAAGGCAGACAAATTTATGCAAGGGCATGTGGCAAAAATTAGGAATTATCCAGATTGCGTTGGGTAGTGGTGGCTAATCCTGGTGCTCGAGGGTAACTATCCTGGCTGCATGCTTTAGAGAAGCTTCAACATCTAATTTGAATGAATGGGTGATTAACAGCTTCTGCAGAACTTGAAGAGGTCATTCATCCATTGAACCAGGTGTGTTGGAGCAGGAAACCAATAAAACATGCAAAGTAGTGGCCCTCAAGGACTGAATATTAAAAGTTAAACACAGACACAGTGTTCAACTCCTCTGGATGGGAAAAGACAAATATTACTGGTTTCTTTAAACCACACGAGGCTTGAGATGTTTGGGAATAGTTTTATATGTAAGGAAAAATATATGTAAATTAAAATGTCTACCTATTAAAATACACACACATCTTTAGTTTAGTTGTAGTGTTAGCAATATATCTCAAAGAACAAGTGGTCTTTAATGGAAACTGCAGAAAGAAATCTTTGGGTTTACATCTGTAACTGAATAACTTTTGGAGACAACCTAATTCAAGACGACCACCACAGCTAATCAACCTTAGCCTCCATAAAAATGGCTGCACCTCAATGAGTTGTACATCCATCCATCCATCCATTATCTTCTGCTTGATCCAAAGTCGGGTCGCGGGGGCAGCATCCTGAGCAGGGAGGCCCAGACATCTCTTTCCACAGCCTCCTCTTCCAGCTCTTCTGGGAGGATTCCAAAGTCTTCCCAGGCCAACCAAGAGACATAACCTCTCCAGCATGTTCTGGATCTTCCCTGGGGTCTCCTCCTAATTGAAGACATGACTGAAGCATCTCCCTAGTGAGACACCCAGGAAGCATCCTTACCAGATGCCAGAACCACATCAACTGGCTCCTCTCGATGTGAAGGAGCAGCGGTTCTACTCCGAGTCTCTCCTGCATAACTGAACTTCTCACCCTATCTCTGAGCGAGAGTCCAGCTACTCTGCGGAGGAAACTCGTTTCAATCGCTTGTATCCATGATCTCATTCTTGTCGCTACCCAGAGTTCATGGCCATAGGTGAGGGTAGGAATGTAGACTGACCGGTAAACAGAGAGCTTTGCCTTACAGCTCAGCTCCCTCTTCACCACAATGGACCGGCACAGAGTCTGCAGTACTACAGACGCTGCACCAATCCATCTGTCAATCTCATACTCCATTCTTCCTTCACTCATAAACAAAACCCAGAGATACTTGAACTCCTCCACTTGAGGCAGAACCTCACACTCGACTCGAAGAGAGCAATCCACCATTTTCCGACTGATTTGATTGTACAAATAATGAGCTAAAATTTGGTGCACTAACAGATCACGTGAAATCATGGACCATTGCAATAATTCATGAGATTGTATTTAATCTTATTTTCAAAGTTTGACCTAAATGGCTAAATCTAGAGCTGACTTTAGTCTAAAACTCTGACATGAAAGGCGTTCAATATGTATTCATTCAGAGGCATTTAGGTAAATTTAATGTGCAAAGGCTACAGTGTTGTGTTTTCTGTGACTCAACACTGACGTAGTGGAACAATCTTACATTTGATCTCTTAACTCATACATCCATTTCTATTTTGTTTCTTTTAATTTTGTCATTGAAGAATAATCATATACGATTTCTCCTTGTCACTGTTGTCCGAGTGTTTTAAACTTTGTAAGTCTACAGGTGCTAGCAAGAAAACAACACCAAGTCACAGTATTGTGTCTGTTTCTTGATTTTTCCTCCAAACCAAATAATCCAAGCGTACTTTCAGCAGACAAGCCCAAAACGATGTGTGTCTGCCAGCTGCTTGGGCTGTGGGGACAGTGCTGCAGAGACAGGGAGGAAATCCTCGTTCTTGGACTTGAAATGTATAAACGATGGTATCTTTGATTGTCAGAAAGAGGCTTTTCCCATGTTACTGTAAAGACGACACTTTTTGGTGTTGGTTTTGTGGGGGTGTCGTTCGATTCAGATGTAAGAACTTTATCTCTCTCCCCTCACAAGTAATCCTAATTCATGTTTGACAAATTTCATCCTGAACTGAGCAACTATTTCCAAGGATTTTCCCAATATAGTAGTCCCTCGCTACTTCGCAGTTAGTTTTTTGCAGACTCGCTCTATCGTGGTTTTTCAAAATAAGATTGGACATGACACACAACTGGTTGATTGATGGATGAGCTGCACGATCGCCATGGAATTTTTTATTTAAAATAAATTATTTTAAATTATTTAGCACCTGCTGCACCTGTGTGCAGCCCACACTGTTGGATAAGCTTCCTCCTGCTGGAGGAACCTGGTCCTAGTTTTTAATTTTCCAAACTTCATTCTTTAGTCATTAAATATGTGTGTGTGTGTGTGTGTATTTATGTATAGTACTTGGCCTTTTTGTGTCAACGTACTCTTATTTATTTGATCTGTACTCGCAAATATCAGGAGTAATTTTGTTTTCACTGCACTGTGACATACTTTTTATATTAATGTGTGTGCTAACATTGATCAGACGTCTTTTGTCACCCGTGCTTCTATAAATATCTGCTGCTGTGCATAAAGGTTGAGTTTAATAAATACTGTTCTGATATTTTTCAAGGATTTTAGAGTTATACAACGTATGCACATATCACTCTTACAATAAAACTTATTAAAACCATGCTGAGCACATTTGCATCAAACAAATCCACAAGATTTTATTTTTTTTTAGTTTGATCGTCTTTTTGAAAGCCTGAAAAAGAAAATAAACTTAAACAAGCAAAATGTAGATGTGAGAATATATTCAAAGTCAAAATGGGTTAAATTTTATTTGGTGTTTGGAAATTAAAAGATTTGTTCATTTTGATTCATGTTGTAAGATTGACTCGTTAATAGTTGTTTTTAAGTACTTTCTATTAAATTATTTATCCCACTTTTAATTTCTGAAATAGTACCTGAAGTTTAATGTCACATTTACAAGATAAACCCTTCTTCAGTTTGTGTTTATAAACTTTAAATTCATCATTACATATTTTATAAAACTAGCCTCGCAGCTGTTTATTGCTGTTTTCTTGGCGCATCACTGGGAGCTGCGCTGTCTGAACTGAAAGAGCCGGCTCTGATGAACTCCGTCTGCTCTGTGTGTTTTTCAGCCATGTTTACAGAGGTGCCTCACGATATGACGGCTCAGAGAGGGCAGGATGTGGAGATGGCCTGCTCCTTCAGAGGAGCTGGAACGCCGTCCTACTCGCTGGAGATCCAGTGGTGGTACATTAGGAACCATCTGGACTGGACGGACCGACAAGCCTGGGAAATTAACGAGGTCATTTTCATCGTCTTCTGATGTGAAATTAGTCCATCTTTTTTTTTTTTTTTTTTTTACAATAACTAAACAATTTCTAAACTTACCAATGCGCTCTTTGCTGGACTTTAGTTTAAAGGATAATTACACTATTTACTTATTCAAATTTTATGAATCATTGTAGAAATACTGGTAAACTGAGCAGTACACAAACATAGTCTACTGCTCATTTTCTACATATAGGATTTATAGATTTAAGATTTAAGTTGTTATATATAGGTTAATTGACAAATACAGTAATATGGGAGTTGGGGAATGACCTTCTGATATATGTAGTAATTTTATACTATGAGAAAAGCACTGTCAATACTCAACTTATTGAAGCTTGTCCTCTTCTAAATTTTTATTTTATAAAAAAAAAAAATATATATATATATATATATATATATATATATATTTATATATATATATATATATATATATATATATATATATATTATAAGGCAGCACAGTTGGTAGAGCTGCTGCCTCTCAGAGAGCAATGTTGCCCTGGTTCAAATCCTGGTCCAAGGGCCTTTCTTGGTGGAGTTTGCATGTCCTCTCCGTGCATGCATGGGTTTTCTCCAGGTAATCCTCCCACAGGCCAGAAACATGCATGTTAGGTTGATTGGTCACTCTAAATTGTCCCTAGGTGTGAGTGAGCGAGTGAATGGTTGTTTGTCTCTATGTGGCCCTGGGATGGACTGGAGACCTGTCCAGGGTGTACCCCGCCCCTCGCACAGTGATTGCTGGACATGGGCACTGGTGACCCCCGTGACCCAAAATGGAAGAAGCGGGTACAATATAATGGATGGATGGATGGATGGATGGATGGATATTATTCATCTAACCTTCTGAGATCCTGCATCCTGATGTTGAGGTCATTGGTTTTGAAGGGGTTGTCCTTAATAAGGGGGACTAGATTTTTGAGGGGGTCAGTTGATTGGGGTTGGGGTGGGCAGTGTTGCACTAAAAAGCTGCATGCATGCAAAGGTTTAAGAACGACTCTGTCACAGTATCTAACGTGAGAGCAGGTGATCATGTAAAGCAGCTGCCGCTAACTGACCTTAGCAAACAGGAAAATGGCAACTTTGTCCATTTTACAGATACTGAGTTGACATTTGGCGTGATAGTAACTCAGAAACATTCACAACACATACTCTGAGTGGTAACAGATCACACAAAATCTGTGTTGAAAACTGGAGCATGCAAGGCAGCAGGTGACAAGTTTTCCTTTAAGGACTGTCCGTTTCAGTTTACTCGTTGTTTGCATCGAAGGTAACGAAAGATGCAAATACTGCACACGATCTTTTGAAGACCAGAATAACTCTAATGAATCCATGTTCAATTAAAAAAACTTTCTGCTATTTATAGTAAAAATAACTTATTTACAAAATGTATTGAACCTTTTGTTGTTGTTTTTTTGCCCATGTATTTCTATTCACAGCACATATTTAAATACATTTCAACTAATTTTATCTTCTAATCTTTGTTCTAGGTGGCTACAGAGGAAGAGACACCAAAAGATGCCACAAAGATAAGTGTGAGTCAGTGCTCTGTGTGCTGGTATCTTCAAGTTTTAATGGTAACACTTTACAATAAGGTACACAAAAATTTGATTAACTACTAGGGTACGCCTCAGGAACGAATCAGGAGCGAATGGGTAGTTAACCAGTACTTACTGGGGAACACAGAGCCAAGCCTTATTAGGGAACTACTGGTTTGTTACCACAAAAACAGAGGAGAAATTCTCCATGTGGGTTCTGAATAAACCCTGCACCAGTGAGGTCACAGCTCAGACATAGTTAAGATGAAGCAGTACAAAACTATGAAATCAGTTCTTACCACTGATTAGTGGTAAGAATCCAGTAAAACCAGTAATCAGTAGGAAACTGTTTTTTGACAGTTATGAGCTGTGACCTCACAGGTGCAGGGTTTATTCAGAACCCACCTGGATAAGTTCTCCTCTGTTTCTGTGGTAACAAATGGGTAGTTAACCAGTAAGTACTGGTTAACTACCCATTAGCTCCTGATTCATCTCTCTTTGGTTACCATGGTAACTACCCATTTGTTCCTGATTAGTCAGGATCAGAATCAGTTTATTATTGCCATGTCAATGAACGAGGTTCACAAACTAGGAATTTGCTTCGACATAAAGGTGCGAATAGTATTAAAGTAAAATAAAGTAAAAATGAAAACATTACATAAAGCATGTGTACACCCATAAATAAAGTAAAAATGAAAACATAACATAAAACATGTGTACACCCATAAATAAAGTAAAAATGAAAACATAACATAAAACATGTGTACACCCATACAATAGAATAGTTCATTTTTGCTTCCCAGGTAACTAACCAGTAGTCCCCTAATAAGTCTTGGCTGTGTATTCCCCTGTAAGTACTAACTACCCATTAGCTCCTGATTTGTTCCTTAGGTGTTCCCTAGTAATCAAATTTTGAGTACCTTATTGTAAAGTGTTACTGTTTTAATGTTTATTTTTGTGTCACGTGATGAGAAAAGGCAGATCATTCTCACATTTTCCCCTAAATGATCCACTTGTGTTCGATCAGGTTCAGCCCTCAGCTCAGCAGATCGGACATTAACGTCTTCACCTCGTCCTCGGTGGCTCAGTTGTATCACAATGTCAGCCAAATAGCAGGCAGTGGGGGCTTGTGGGTGGTTAAGAGGTCTGCTCGAGAGCATGAGGCTCGCAGTGCATCATCTTCAGATTCTAATAAACCCCCCTTCATCTTTATTGCTACAATGCCACATCCCGGTGACAAACATGGCCAAGGAGAGTCAGCAGAAGATCTTGTTTATCCTCTCATATCTACAGAGCCGGGCAGTTTGGCTGTGAGGATATCTAGAATCTAATAAAAAGCAGGAAGTGCTGTTGACTCAGGAAGACATGCTCACTCTGTGATTTAATATATTGACTTTTCCCCTCTGTAATAACAGCTAAAAAAGCAAATATAAAAACTACTGCACTTTGTCTTCTTCATACTTCTATAAGTAAAATAAAATCTACTTTCTAGTCATGGGGTCACTGCATTATAGCACATAAACAAGCCAGATATGTAGAAAGTATGAAGCGCTGATCATTAGGCAGAAACGTGAACACTCCAAAACGTGAAGCAGTTCTCTCTTTTCGCCTTTCTGACTTTCTGTAATGAAAGCTCGAGCTCCGCTGAGTGACGGATGTAAGTGTGTTGGTGTGGGTGGAGTCAAACACTGCAGGCTATGCAGCTGTAAAATTGTAAGCTCGCTCTACAAAGACGCTGGCTCATATCCATGCAGTCACACAAAACCATGACAGATCCTTACATACATGATACAAGCTCACAAATGGCCAGCATTAATTGCTAAGCTTGTATTACAAACAGCCAAAGAGGAGCAAACACAAACATGTGCCCGCATTTCAGGTAGTTCCTTCAGCTCATTTAAGACATTACTACTAGGGTGTTTGTTTTTTGTAACTTTGACATTTTTTAATTTATTTACAGTATTTCTTCTCATAGAAATGCTTTTAGAACTTTACAGTAATAAATGTGCTCTTTGAATTCTACTTCAGCATACTTGCTTTATGTCAGCTTTTAGCTGATGTTTTGCTCACTTCTGTTCTCGTAATTTTAGCTTTTAGTTACTGTTTTGCTAGTTTAAACTCTTAGCTACTGTGTTGCAAATTTTAGCTTTAAGGTAGTGTTCTGCTGACTAACTTTTAGCGATTGTGACACAAATTTATGCTTTTAACTACCAATTTTCAAATGTTTACTTCGATAGTGTCTGTCAGATTTTTGCCTTTAGCAAATGTTTGACTTTTTGCTTTCAGCAGCATTTTGCAGGGTTGAGATTTTAGCTACTGTTTTGCTGGTTTTACTTTGTAGTTTGACAGAATCAGATCCACAGCTATGCGTGAAACCATACTGTTGCTCACAGATAGTCACCTCTCGTCTAAGTCTAGCTTCCACAAAGGCATTGCTCAAGGGCCCAGAGTGGGATGAATGAGGGGGGGGGGGGTCAGGTGTGGGTGCTTCACCTACCCCACCCACATCTTTGATGTTGTCTGTACCAGGGCTTGAACCAGCGATCTTCCAATCACAGGCCCACCTTCTCTAACCTCTGCGCCACCACTCCCATTCGAGGCTCAATAGGATTAACCTGTCTAAATAAAGGTTGAATGAAAACCTCCACTGGTTATGTCATCAGGTCTTACTGCCTTCCCCTTCATTCTTTTCAGAGCTTTCCAGATTTCACCCTCACTAATCTTTCCCACTTCCTGCTCCACAGTTTCTATGACCTCTACTTTTATTCCGCTTTCATTATTTTCATTCCTTAGCTCTTCAAAGCACTCCTTCCATTTTCCCATCACACTCTCCTCACTTGTTAGAACATTACCATTGCTATCTTTAACATTCATAACTTGCTGCACATCCTTTCCAGCCTGAGCCCTCTGTCTTGCCAATCGGTACAAGTCCTTCTTGTCCTCTTTAGTGTCCAGCCTCCCATACAGCTCATCATAAGGCTTCTGCTTCGTCTTACTCCCTTCTTTGCTCTACATTGCATATCTTGATGTTCCTGTCTCCTACTCTCTTCAGTCCTCTCACAGTCATATTTCTTCTTGGCTAACCTGTTGCCAACTGTTGCTGTAGTAGCTCAGTCATCTGTAAGTTCTTTCTTACCACTCAGAGCCTTTAACAGCTCCTCTCTGAATCTCTCATAACATTCTTCCTTCTTCAGCTTCTATCATTTGTTCTTCTTCTCTGATTTTACTCTTTTCTCTTCTTCACAACAGCAGTCATTCTACACACAACCATCTGATGCTGTCTGACCATGCTGTCCCCTTCCACACCCTTACAGTCTCCAATCTCCCTCAGGTTTCCTCTTCTACACAGAATGTAGTCGACCTGCATCCTTCCTCCACTCTTATAGGTGACTCTATGTTCCTCCCTCTTTTGGAAATAGCTGTTGACTACAGCCATTTCCATTCTCTTGTCAAAATCCACCATCATCTGTCCTTCCTAGTTTCTTTCCTCGACACCAAACCTACCCATCACATCCTCATCCCGTCTGTTTCTTTCATCAACATGTCCATTCACATCTGCTCCGATCATCACTATCTCCTCCCTGGGAATATTGTCTATCACTTCCTTATAAAATGTATCTTTCTCCTCCACATCACATCCAACCAGTGGAGCATAACCACCGACAACGTTTAGCCTCACACCTTCTACTTCTATCTTCAGACACATCACCCTATCTGACACTCTTTTCACCTCTACTACATTCATTGTCAACTCCTCCTTCAGGACCACCCCTACTTCATTTCTCTTTCTATCCACACCATGGTAAAACAGTTTGAACCCTGCTCCAATGCTGCGAGCCTTGCTGCCCTTCCACTTGGCCTTTTAGACACACAAAACATCTACCTTCCTTCTCTGCATCATGCTAGCCAGCACTCTACCTTTCCATGTCATTGTCCCCACATTTAGAGTTGTAACCCTCAGTCCTACATTCTTGACTTTCCTTTTCTCCTTCTGTCTACTGACACATTTCCCTCCTTGTGGTCTCTGGCCACGACTATTTTCTGATTTTCTTGGGTTCAACTTTTCTATTTTGTCACAATAGTCAATTTATCATTGTTAATATTACAGTATTTTATCATGGTTATAGTTTGTGATAGTTTGTTAACTGTGAATTATTTGAAATAAGTAAAATTGATGACTAATATAAAATTCATGATATCAGTTTATATGCTCTAAAATGTCATGAGGCAAACATCTGGTGTCATGGTTGACCTGGTTCAGTAAATAGTTAGAGAATAATTTCTGTTAAAAACATTTTACTCATTCAGGTTTCGTGTTGTCTCTCTGTGCCAGGTCGTGAAGGTCGTAGGAAGCAACATCTCCCATAAACTCCGTCTCTCCCGAGTGAAGCCCACTGACGAAGGCACTTATGAATGTCGCGTGATCGACTTCAGCGACAACGCCGGTGCCCGCCACCACCGCGTCAGAGCGTACCTGCAGGTCGTGCCGGAGAGCAACGTCGTCGGCACCAAACACAACAACTTTGACGCCATGGATGACACCAAGAGAGAAGTGGGATTTGTCGACGGGGAGTCCCACGGCGGCACCAGAGAGCACAGTCATCACCAGAACCACGGGCACCACCAGGAGCAAGGCAAGCGGCCTTCGTCAGCCGTCCACAACGGGCACAGCCACGGCAGTCAGCAGCACAAGGCAGGCAGAGAGCTGAGGAAGAGGGACATGGACAGTAACCACAGCCACAATGACTGCAGCAACGAGCCGAGCTGCACACTGTAAACAGCTGCTACAACACAAAAAGCTTGCATCACTGCATAAAAAGCTATCCCTCTCACACAGTGCAGGCCTGTAGGCAAATCTAGAATCCATTGAAATGTACAATATGGCTTATTAGAAGCGCAGAGGTGTGACCTGTGAAGAAAGTGTGGCTTTTTCTTGCTGTGCATTGGTCTGAACTGCTCTGTAAACTGCCTGTAAAGCCTGGCTTCTCAACATCTGGCAATGATGGGAGCTGATGTGTAAATCTAGGCAGCTCCACCATTTCTGGTATTGGCACCAAAAAGAAAACCAAAAAAATTTAAATAACAATAAGACCTTAGTTCTATTATTAACCAGTGCTTTGTTCTGCTCATGTGTTTTAAATACTGTAAATGATACATTCTTTCATCCTTTCACTGCCTTACTCTGTGGTATGATACAGTATTGGAGGGAAAAATCATACACTGTAAGAGTTTTCCATAAAATAACATATTTTTTGTCCTAAGAATCCAAGGAATAAAAAAAATTATTTTTTTTTTTTTCTGTTTAAGTGTTAAGTTTGACCCCTGGGCTTTAAACTTGAAGCACTAGCTTCATTAAATCTTTTTGCATATTCAGTAATGGATATGATTATGCTGTAAAAGCTGCACACACCCAAAAGTTAGTGAGTTATTTCTCCCCATGTTTGCTCTCCGGGGAGAAAAACTTGTTTTCTTTCGCTTTCTTCAGCAGGATTTCCTCCAGGTCCCAAAGCAGCAGCCGTACTCATCAAGGACAGATTCGGTCTTCATTTATTTTGCTCTGAGTGAATACAGGAGTAGTTTAGAGAGTGAGGGATTTCAGTCCAAAACAAAGAGTGCCCGCCAGCCCCTCTTGTGCTGCAGGTTTAATCCATTCTTAGTTGTTTAGCCTGAGAGAAATCAATTCATCTGCTCCACGATGGCTTTGGAAAGCCAGGAAATGAATAAATCCGAAGCACTAAATTAACAATTTGATTTGATGTGCCTGCGAATATTGACTATAAATAAAAAGACAAATTATGATCTTGGTGGAATACTGTGCTATGAAAAAGTAATTGCCTGTTATTTTTCTTTTTTGACACAAGAAAACACTTCAGATCATCAAACAAATAATATCAGAGAAAGATAACCTGAGTTGTTACAAAATACAGTCTTAAAAGATTTTTTTTTTTTAATTAAGGGGGACAATAGCTATTGAAGCCAACCTGGTTCCGAGGAGCGTTGCTGCTGCTGTTTCCGATCATCGTTCTGCTGCAGAACCCGAATCAGCTTGAGCTTAAAGTCACGAACTGATGGCTGGACATTCTCCTTCAGGAGTTTCCGATGAATTCCTGGTTCCCTCACTGATGGCACATCATCCAGGACATGAAGCAGCCCCAGACCATCACACGACCACCACCGTGCTTGACTGTGTGATATTTTCTCTCGTCTTGGAGTTCATCCAGATGTTTTATTTTTTGTTTATGCTAAATGTGTGGTGGAACTTGAAGCACTCTATAGAAGCCATTTTTGCACCTCATTGTTGATTCATGAACTTTGACCTTAACTGAGGCCTGCAGAGCTTTGGATGTTATTCTGGTTCTTTTGGGACCACTTGGACGAGTCGTTGAGCTCTTGTAGTCGTTTTAGCTGGACGATCACTCCTGGAAAGGTTCACCACCGTTCCATGTCTTATTTTTTCTTCATTTGTGGATAACGGCTGTGTTTAAACGAGTCAGTGGGTCAGGCCAGCGTGCGAGACTGAGCTCAACTTCAACAAAAAAAAAACATAAACGGCCAAGTTATTCTGAATAGTTTTTTTTCCCCTTAATAAATCAAACTATTATCTGAAAACTGCAATTTTACTCAGATGATCTTTGTTTGCTGATCTAAAATGGTTCAGTGTGATAAAATTAAATTGTAAGGAGATAAACAGGTTTCCGCAGCACTGTATAAATATATTTTGGGCAGAGAAGTCCTGCTTTTCTCTCCCAGCTTGCTTTTGTTCTTCTCCAGAACAGCACAGCGCTCCTCCATTACATCAATAATAAAAACGCCTCAGTGCTCTCCACTGCAAGCCTCCAATCCAATTTGTATATAAGGCTGTATAATATGAAACAAAGTTAATGCATGTTTAGTCATTTTCTTAAAAATAAACTTTTTCAACCTACACAAAGTTTTTTGTCTTGTACAAATTAGGTTTATTTGAACAAATGCATCACTTTCTTTTGTAAATATATTTGTCTTTTACTTAGACCTTTTGTCTTTTCAATTTTTTTGCATTCCTGCTCTCCAAAAGTGCTGTACAGACAGATGAATGATACATTTTCTTTACAGCTGCTCAGAAATGGGGCTTCCCCTCTTCTGTCTCTCATGCTTGTGTTTCTTATAAATTGTACATGGAGGGCTGCAGATAATGTAACGATATCTTGATGAGTTCACTGATGAGAGAAGCTTCAAGAGGCCATTTGCTTGTACAATGCTCACGATGTAAAAGGAGTACGGAGTGCAGAATGTGATGCATACTTGGACATTTTTCTCCTTGAATTGGATCAGTTAGCACAAAGTAAATGGTGTTAATAGATAAATCCTTGAGCAGTGGGAGTGCTAAATGAAAGAAGTTTGCTGTTAGAGAAACACTGATATTGACTTTTCATTCTGCTTTAGAATATTTTTATTTCCAAGGCCATGAGCAGTTTTACCTCTGCTGCAGAGGAACCGCAGCACTTTTATTACGGTCGGCAGTCACCGTTTGTGGACGGAGAAGGTTGATTTACTGCAGCGCGTTGACTATTATGACTGCTTTTTATTTTGTTTTATTTATTCGAAATGGTAACTTTGATTGGTTTTTGTAAAAAAAATAAAATTGCTGTTCCAAGAGAAAGAGATAAAAATGACATTTCTTCTAGAATGTTTGGTCTCACAATAAGTGTATGCCTTTATCAAATGGAATAAATTGTATATGAAACAATAAATTTGGAGTTAACTTCTTATTTATGGGAATTCCCAAACTTCCTTTTTTTTTGCTTTATGTCGACTCTGATTTAGGTTACGGCTCCTGCTCTGTGTGCATTAAGGAAAAATAACATTAAGCAGTTGACTGTGTGTAATGGCTTCTGTCAATACACTCCCCCCTCCACCCCCATCCCTTGCTGCTGATGACTAATGGTGCTACTGTCAGCAAAGGCAGCAGGATAAATAGCAGCGGCCCAGAATGAGATAAAGAGGAGCCGCACCGTGCTCACCAGCATTAAGCCAGGCCAGCTAAATACAAAACATGAGGCAATCTTGTTTTCTTACATGCCTCATACGTTCATTATGGAGCAGAGAAGCTGCTGGTGGTGTTCAGGTAATCCTGTCATTGAGGGGCTGTGATAATGGGAGAGAACTTGTGTTTTCTTCATTTACACATGATCTCTTGAACCCTCCCTCCATCTGATAGAGCTAGGCTCGTTCTAACCAGGTGTCCTGTCATGAAAGACTTAATTTGGTCGCATTACTTTTATCGGCCCTGGAGCGTCTCAACTGGAGGGTGATGATCAAATTTATAAACGTATTGCCTTATTGTATTATTTGTTCTAGTTCTTAAAAGAACCACAAAAGACCAACATCGGTGCCATGGTTGGATCATTTTTTAATGCAACACCATTGTGTCGTCTATCTCGGGGCTCCAATAAGTTTCTGTAAAAATCTCTCCAAATTAAAGGCCAAGCCTTCCTTAAATCAGGAGTTCTCAAACGTTTTGGGTTCAGGGGCCCCTTACAGGGGAGAAAAAGTTTCAGGTACCCCCCCATTAACTTCATGTTAAAAAATAATTTTCTTCAATTTGTCTCTTTAATGCAATGGAAATATTTGTGTAACATAAATACTTAAAACCTGTTTTTTAAACGTGTTAATACATTTTTTTATACTTCTAAACATGGAGTATGTTTCATTCAAGACACAATTAACAAATATTTTAATTTCACCTTCAAAAAATTAGTTTAGAGAAAATGAATCGCATCAAAAACCGCTTTAAAACTTTACCTATTCACATAACATTATATATATCTATATATATAGATATATATAGATATATCTATATATATCCATCTATATAGATATATATATATAGATCTCGCTGACCCCCCGGGGTCCAGGGACCCCAGTTTGAGAACCACTGCCTTAAAGGAATGCATGTCACCTATCGGCCTTCATTCCAGAGTTTTAAACAAAGATATTTTGTTGAGAAATGATCGAGGGGCAGTCGTTTTGGTCAAACCGTACGTGCTGTGAATGACCCTCAGCTACTACCACGTCATATTTGAGTTCAAACTCTGTTATTTCACTGAGATTTAGCCATGTTTGTGTTGGCTACGGTCGATTAGCTGCGAGAAACAACCTTGAATAAGATCGACTCTAAAGTTTCTCTCTTGTCGGTCTGCATTCAGTGTTTTTCGTTTTTAAGTTTCATTAAAATCTGTTCAGTGGTTCGTGAGATTTTTTGCTAATGCTACAAAGCAACACCGACACGGATAAAAACATCATCGCCTAATGCAGTGAGTGATTATAAAAAACATCTATTGTTCTTTTTTTGACCTAGTTTGATCCTTCGGGGTCACTGGATGCTGGTTCTTGTGTCCAGCCATCAACGTTTGAGAAGCGGGGTACCACAAAAAACCACTCTTCTTTAACTATCTGATTTATATTTTAACAGACCGTTGGTTTCACACTTCCTGTGGTCAAATGTGAAACTCAAGAAAGTTTATGTAAAAATAGCAGGTAGATTAATTTGTTTCTTTGTAAAATAAAGAAATAACGTGAAAAAAACAAAACACATTTTCAATAATAATATAGGCCTGTCAAATATTAAACAAGTTTTTATGGAAGAGCCTTCAGCAAAGCCTTTTTATCTCGCCGTCTACATCATAAAGTGCCTGAAGGCTGCTTTTCAGGAAAGTTGTCTTCTTCTTCTTAATTAAACTGAGTCAGTGATTCACTGAGGCGTCTGTTTTAAGAGACGAGCTCAAGGTGTCAATCCCCATCTCGTGAAGCTGCTACAGATTCTGGGCCGAATTCCTCCCTCAGCAGTTTCAGCACGTTGTCTGAGTACTCGTCCTTCGATCTGCCCATCCCGCTCAGCTGGAGAGGCTGGAGGTCGGGGTGGGGCGGGGTGTAGAGGGACGGGCAGTGCAGCTCGTTTAGAGTAAACCAGAAAGTGTCCGGATCCACCTGGATTAGGTGCCGGAAAACGCTGTGGAGGAAAGAAAATAGAAAGGATTACTTCTACAGAGAAACACTTCTGTTTAATCCTGAATGACAGACCAGCTTGACTCTTGGAGCTCAAGCCAACATTTTTGTTTCGATTATACATAAAAAAAAAAAATTTGTGTAGATGTAACTTTTTAAACATGCGTTTTGTGTTGTGCTGTAGTTTTTAAATTTTCCATAATTGTTTCTGTACAGTACTTAAAGGCCTAGCGTTCCTTGAAGGAATGCATATCTAGAATTGCTTGCTATGTTTTCCTGCCATTTGCTTAATTCATAGTATTGGAAATTAAATATACAATACCTTCCTGTTTATTCCAGCTGTTTCTACACGAGTGAATGAGCACCATTCTAACAAAAATGCATAATTATCACACATAGCCTAAATATTTGCATTGTGCAATCATTATTACACTCAAATACCTAAAAAGAGCAGATACACGGCGTTGACTTTGAAATAAACAAGGGGCTTTAATAAAGTCTTACCTCAGACAAGCTTCTTGCAGTCTGAAGGGCTGTCGGCAGCTCAGGTAGGGCAGACAGGCTTCACAAACAGCATCAAGGTCTGCTTCTCCTAACAAAACCAAACAAAATGTTCATTTCTTTTATACAAACATGAGAATACACCGCGCTGTGGAAAATACTATCCCCTTTCAGATTCCTTCTGTTTCGTTTTGTCATACTTAATGTTTCAGATCATCGAACAAGCGTCATCAGATAAAGTTAACCTTGAGCTTAAAGTCATGAACTGACCAAAGGATATTTTTCTTCAGGATATTCTGGTGGAGAGCAGAATTCATGCTTCCATCAAAGAGGACATGTCGTCCAGGTCTTCAAACAGCAAGGCAGCCCCCAGACCATCACACTACCGCCACCATGTTTGACTGTTAATGTTCTTTTTCTGAAATCAGTGTTAGTTTTACACCAGATAACCAGCTAACATTAAAATAAAAAAGCTCTACATTTGACTCGTGAGTCTACAGAATATTTTTCAAAAAGTCTTGATCATCCAGATGTTTTTTGGTAAATGTGTTTGTGCCGTTTTGGCTCAGCAGCTGTTCTAGACTTGAACTTTGTCTCTTTCTTATCATTGAATCATGGACGCTGATAGACAAGTGAGCCCTGAAGAGCTTTACATGTTATATGTTGTTCTGGGTTCTTTTGGCGCCTCCTGGATGAGACGATGGGCTCTGGGAGCGGTTTTTGGTCAGCTGGCTCCTGCGAAGGTCCACTACTGCTGTTTTCTAATAATAGCTTCATTTAAGCGATGGCAGGTCTGACATTAATCAGGCCTGGGTGTGGCACTGAAACTGAACTCAACTTTCCATAACAATCAGTTCAATCATGATTCAACAAGAGGGTCAAATACTTTAACACTTTTTTTTTTTTTTTTGGGTTGGATAGGCTTGTTGTCCCTTAATAAATAAAATCATCTTATAAAAATTGTATTTTGTACTTACTCAAGTTACCCGTTCCATATTAACATTAGTTTGATGATCTGAAACGTTAAAGTGTAACAAAAGAGCATCAACAGAATAAATCTGTATGGGGGGGCAAAAATAAGTGCAGATATTAAAATAGTGGATAAAATGTCAGAAAAAGAGAAAGAATAAAAGATGAGGAATAGATGAAAGAGGAAAAAGTAGTCAAAGCCTGGACTTTACCTTTGCCAACTCCTAATGAGCTGAGAGAAACTGCTGAGGTGGCTAAGAAAATTTATCCTCCGGGTACATTTCACACATGCACAACACTTCTGTATCCTTTCCTTCACCCTTGTTTCCTTCACTCCTAGCTTGATGTGCTCTGACACACCTGCCTCGGCTCCCTTATCAGCCATTCACCATATTCGTCATAACCTTTGCAGCTCCTGCACGCTCAATCCTCTTGACTTCTCTCCACTCTTTCATCTCCTTTTTCTTCCATTTCCTCCCTCTGCATCTCGTTGCTTCTCCTTCTTTCCCAGCAGACATTTAGCAATTCCCTAAGCTGCAAACTGGGCTGCCTTTCAAGCCTCATTTCAAAACATGTCTGTCTCCTTCTCTGCTTACTCTATTTACCGATTCAGCCCACACTCGGCTTGAACAGGCCTGCTCGCTGTGAGTCAAGAATAAAAGCAGCAATGCACATTTCAGAGTTAAATAGGATTATTTAGCAACTGCTTTTATCCTCTTTCTTCCTTCCTTTTTTGGCGCTGCACTTATAGCCTGTAGCCATTTGTGGAATCAAAGTGCTTGGAGGGAAGCAGAGAGGTAAGAAACACCAAAAAGAAGAAGGCTAGTTGCTGTTAGATTTGTGGAACTGTGGCTCAAAGTATAACTGGGGTTGAAACGTATCGTTGGCTTCAGTCAATCTTTGTTTCGGGCTTTCTCTCTCTGTGGCGAAGGCTTGGTAATTGGCTTGCTGCAAGCATCCCAGAGGTAAGCAGGAGCCAAATCGGTATTCACACGAGTGAAGCTGCAGCCGCTCACTGTTTCTCTCCTGCTCTTTCACATTCTCTTCATCGCCTACACCAAATCCCTGCACTTCTGATAGGAAGGAAGACAGCGTCAAGTGCCAGAATGAAAAGGAAAAACGTAAAAATTGTTAAAAGCAGAAACTATTTCTTTTATTTAGGATGACAGAAATGACTGAAATCTATGTGGATCCAATCAAATGTCAGAACGCTCTTCGGTAGACTATTATTCTGCCTTTCAGGTTTACAGGGTGAGTGCGTATCTTCATCCTTCTGCTCTCCACCAAAAACAAAGTGGCAATGATGCTTTTAGTGTATTATTGCTCGTGTGTGAGGGTGCGTCTGTCTGTCTGTTAGAAAAATATTTCATGAAGTTGTACTTAAATTTGCAGGAAGTAGTCAGTGGACGTACATCAACAGTTTGAAAGTAAACTCTTTTAAATTGCACAATTTCATATAGTTCAGGACATATATAATTTTTGTTTTATTTCTTAAGTTAAAATGCGTACCTTTAAAACTTTGTCTTTAACACTGGACAGACTCAAATGAAACTTTCAGAAAATAAACACTGGGTGTAGATCAACATCTGATGAACTTTTGGAACCAGCTTAGTTGAGGACGGCGTCACAGGCAATAAATTAATTAATCGCATGATAAATGAAAATTATCGACCTCATTTTCATTTATCGGCTTTATTGTTTCTTCGTGTCTCTCTCTTTGTACTGAAGACACTGGATGACAAAAGGCTCAACTCCAGTGCTCTTCAATGACCTTTCCCTTTCTCTTTTCTCTTTAAAATCCATTTTTATCTTCCAAAATTGTGTTTTCGGATCGTTCAAAGCAGCTAAGCTGAGAAGCTAAAGGCTCCAGTATACTTGCGCGTCCTGTCAGCCGCGCGGAAACTGTGCGCACCGTCCGCAGATGGTTTAGACTTCATTCTCAAGCGTCCACCCGGAGCGGCTGCAGACCAGCTCCACAGACAAGGGGCGTTTACCTTTGGGACAAATTGTGTTAGCCGATTGGTCATTTGTTGACACGCCTATTGGACTGATTGACAGGTCCAAAAAAACCCCTCAAAAAACGCTAAGCTAACAGGCCGGACTCGGTGGGGTGGGGGGGACCTCGATCTTGTCAAAGCTCCAAAATTCATGGTTGAAACAAGTGCCTTTGTGTAAAAAGTTGTTTTTCTCTGCAAAAAGAAGCTGAGAACCTGTTTACTGAATTTTTATTTAAACCTTTGTGAGAAAAATGCTATGCTAAAAAGAGCTCAAACCACACCGAGCGTCCGCCATTTTTAGAACCGGAGAGAGAGAGCCCATGTCACGTCAAGGGGCCTCCCTCCCATTTTTCTTAAAGACATGCTGCTCACTCCCTCTCTATGCATCCTTCGGTCCAAACAGTCTTGTACTGCCATCCAGTGGTCAAAAAAGGTACTACATGCAAAACAAATTAAAACATTTAATCTTAAATTTGACAATAATTACTAATTATTATCAAATTTCAAACCAATATTATCGTTTATCGCAATAATTTCTGAGACAATTAATCGCCCAGAAAAATTTGTAATCATGACAGGCCTAGCTATAACTCAACCAGACGTACAGATTTTAAATTAAAGTTTGATGAGGTAGTAGCTGAGAGTCATCTTCAGCCTCCTTCATCTCTATCCTCTGCATCCTCTGTCCTCACTCCAACTACATCCATGTTCTCTCTAACTGCATCCATACATCTCCTCTTTGTCTTTTTCCTGGCAGCTGCATTTCTAACATCCTTCTACCAGTATACCCACTGTCCCTCCTCTGGACATGTCCAAACCATCTCAGTCTGGCCTCTCTAACTTTATCTCCCAGTTGTTCAACCTGTGCTGTACCTCTGATGATCTCATTCCTAATCTTGTCCATCCTTGTCACGCCTAAGGAGAACCTCATCATCTTAATTTCTGCTACTTCCAATTTTTTCTCTTGTCTTTTTGTCCATGTCTCTGTCTCCAGGCCATACAACATAGCTGGTCTCACCACTGTCTTGTAAACTTTTCTTTTTACCTTTGCTGACACCCTGTTGTCACAAATCACTCCTGAAACTTTTCTCCATCCACTCCATCCTGCATGGACTCTCTTTCACCTCTTTACCACACTCCCCATTTTCATGGACAGTGAACCCCAAGTCCTTCCTTGTAGTCTCACTGTTCCACCGGCCTCCCTCTCATTCACACACATGTACTCTGTCTTACTACGGCTGATTTTCATTCCTTTTCTTTACAGTGCATACTTCCACAAAGATTTGACCAAAATGGCTATAACTCCCTCCCATCTCATCATAAAATTATTTTATTTTTAAACTCTGGCATGAAAGATGGTGGGTGAAATGCTTTCTTTCTAGAAATCGAGATTCTTAATTTGGAGTCAGCTCTTTCAGTTCACATCAAGTGTGAAAATGGACTCGTTAGACGTAGACATGACCAGATTTATCAGAAGTGAAGCAGAAATGTTAGTTGGAGGCTGTTCCTGGATCAAATGCTTTAATGCATAGGTAGAAAAAGACATCAATCTCACTATGCTGCACTTTTCAGAAGGTGTCAAAGCTCTCACTTTTTGAGCTTCTAAAATGATGTGCAAAGAAAATCTGAGAAAAGCTATGAAGTGGACTGGCACAGAAGTCATCTGTACCTGCATCCAATAAGAGAGAAATGTCTGACTGAGGCCGTTTGATGAGAAGAAGTCAGAGCAACTGAGACGTTGTGTGTGAAGTATTCCTTGAAGGAATGCACATCAACTGCCGACTTTCATGCGCTTGTTTTAGTCTGAGCTCATCTTATGGCGAGAAACGGCACAGTTAAAGCCATTTTGAACAATTTTTGAAAATCCTGTTATGCAAAATCTCATGCAACTAGACTTCAGAAATATGTCAGTGTGTGTGTTGAGAATGACTTGCTTTATTGAAATGTCGTGCACAGACTGTGTGTTGGTGATCAGTCTCAGCTACCACCACACCAAACTTTAGCTCAAAATCTGCAAAACCGGATGAGCTATAGTGAACGTCAGTTGGCCGTGGCAGCCATTTTTATTCAGTTGTACATAGGATGACTGAGCAACTCTGTTTCAATACAGCATCTCAAACGCACT